CCATCCAGTCCTGAGCTGGATAGAAGTTGTGCTGAGTTTTCCGGATTTCTTTACTGTGCTTCAAGGATTAGATTTGTCAAGTTCAGATGAGAAGGAATATAAGATACTTCTCCTTCTTTGATTGCAATAGGAAGCTGTGGTATTGGAGATGGACTGTGTTGTTGGAGAATTACTTCCATCTTGCGGTTTCCAGAGTTTGCACCAATAAGCCTGAACAGCTTGAATGCTTCCTTTTGATTGTCAATGATCACCTTCAAGTAGTCTTTGGTCACTACCTGATTTGCAGAAGCTACTGCTAGGGCTGATCTGATGTCCATTTGGAGAAGAAGAACACACACTTTGCATGGAACTAACCGAATGAAATCCTTTGAAAAAGGATATTCGAACTCTAACCAATCCCTGCAGGAATCAACGCAAAAGAAACCATATTACTTCTTCTATTATAATGAAAAGAAGAAGATTCACATACCACTTCCAGAACCCACACAAATCAAACCGAGGTATAGACATTCAGTTCGAGTAGACTGGAACCCGCCAACTGCAAAACGACGAGTTGGCCAAGGTAACACTTAAACACGCGTGTTGGTACATGTGTGTGTGTGTGTGTGTGTGTGTGTTTGCATACCATGTGTATGTGATTATCGGTGCGTGTGTTTATTAGTTTAAAAAGTCGTGTTACTAATCCTCAAGGACCCAAAAGACCAAACGGGTACCAAAATGTTTTTATTGTAGGCGTTGAAGTCAGGGGGAATGTGAACAATCGATTTACAGGCTTGTGATAATCGATTATCACAACCCACAGGAGTTGGAGCAAAGAAACTGAAAAAACCAACAATCGATTATCAGCATTAAGATAATCGATTATCAGGGGCTGCAGAAGCTTCTCAAAAGTCAGGCGCAAACCAGCAACAATCGATTATCTACTATAAGATGATCGATTATTTAAGCCTGCAAAAGTTAAAGGCAATTCAGGCGCAAACTCTAACAATCGATTTACAACCAGGCAGAAATCGATTATTGAAGCCTGCAGTTTCTTTGGCGGAGAATCTGAAGACTCAGATAATCGATTTACAGGGAGTGTAAATCGATTATAAATGGCGATTTTTCAAAAATCTAACCGTTACAGAGACGTTGGAAATGCATTTAAGTCACCTTTTGAACTCCCCAACGGATCTCCAGCCCTCTTAACTATAAATTGGTGATATCCCTTCATTCTTTACTCATTCCAATCATCCTCTCTCAAATATTCATCATATTTCTTCAATCCTTGCTATTGTTCTTCAACTCTTAGCCAAATTTTCTGCAATTTTTCTCTTCTCCCTCTCTACTTTGTTGAAATAGAAGGAGGTCAAAGAAAACGATCTCGCACCGGGAAGAATGTTGCTTCCTCCTCGGCTCCTCCTCCACCACCAGCGCACAAGTACCTCGATGGGTCGTTCCTTTGGTTCAACGACCGCGCAGAGGCGACGCGGTTCTCGGAGAAGTTTGAACACCGGGAAATTCTCCCTCCCCGATTCTCCACCGCCCGCTTCATTCATGACTCCATTCCACGTGAGGCACGGGTTATCCTCGAACGTGGAAACTTCCTCGACCTCCTCTACATCAAGAAGGCCAATTATCACCCCTTTCTTGTTCGAGCCTTCTACTCGAACTTGAAAAAGGATGAGGACGGAGCATTGATCTCTAACGTCAACGGGGTGGACAATTATTTGAATGAGGAAAACATTCAAATCCTCACCGGGCTTCGTTGGGACTGAGAGGATCTCGGGCTCTACGTCGGAGAAGAAGGAGCACAGTTCAATGAGACCGCTCTCTTGGAGGAAGTGGGCATCCGACACTTCATCCCCACTCCCCAACAGCGGCGCCCTACGATTGCTTCAATGAGTCCCGTGTTTCGATTCATTTTCTATGCTTTGACACAGATTCTCAAGCCTAGGAAGTTCAATCACACCACTCTCTCCCAAGAGGACACGAAAACGCTCCATGCAATAATTCACAACGCTAACATCAATTGGTGTAAATTTGTGATGACTCACAAGTTTAGCGCCACCTCCGACGATCGGCCGCTTCCCTACGCCCTCCTCGTCATGGCGATTCTTGATGAGTACAGCATCAAGACCGACGTTGGGCCCAAGACAAAGGGGACAAAGCATTGGGAGATTGACGAGTCTTCCTTCCACCCGGGAACCGATGAAGCTACGTTCCCGCAGCCGCGTCCTCGCCCCCAACCGAGAGCCACTGCCTCAAACGCCACCACTTCGACCAATCCTTCTCTCGCTGAGCAAATGGCAGCCTTGACCGCCACTCTCTCTCGGATTGACACCAACGTCTCCAAAACGGCACACAACGTCAATATCTTGAGCCGTGAGCTTCACGGGTATTTTGATTTTGTCAATTACCCGTACGCTCAAATGGTCCCCTACGTTCCTCCACCGAATTTCGGAGGTGAACAAAGTGGGACTCAAAACGTTGGCAGGGACGACGCGGTGGACGAAGACAAAGGAGAAGAAGAAGCTGATGATGATGATGATGATGATGATGGCGATGGTGATGAAAATGAAGAAGAAAAAGACATTGACGAAGAACAACTTCTCAATGATCTTTCCCCGGATTTCTAGAGCTCTAGCTCTACTTTCTTCTCTTCCTCATTTTATCATCTTTTAATATGCTTTCGTTATGTACTCCGCTATTTCTCTTAATTAATTAATAAAAATCTTTATGATTTTTGTTGTTAACAATCTTTTTGTTAATGTCAAAAGGGAGAAGATAAGGGCTATGCATATATTAAGGGGGAATTTTTTTTTAAGGGGGAATTTTTATTAAGGAGGAATTTTTTTCAAAAAGATCAAAACCCTATGCATATCTCCGTCTTGTTTGCCATTATCAAAAAGGGGGAAATTGTTGGAACACACTTTGTACGATACACTAAAGTCGTGTTCATTTCTGACAGGTTTTGATAATTGCCAAACAGCCGTGGATATAAAGAGTTTTGTTGAATAATTCAAGGCGTGAAGAATGGCTTGGAACAAGACCTAAAAGACTCAAGGACAAGATCAAGAATTGAAGACTTAGTCGAGTCGGTCTTTTATGATCAAAACCGACAATAAATTCAAGTCTCGGTTCTCAAAACGTCAAAACAATTTTTACAAATCATAAAATATTTTTTGTGCATCAAAACAAACATTTTTGATGATTTCTTTTATTGTTAAAATCCCTGGTCCTTGCTCGGAACCGAAACCACCTAAGTCGGCGTTCGGCTTTCGTCTTTTGGCGTTCGGTTTTTGGCGCCCGAACCAACTCTGTGGTTTTCAATATTTTAAACCCTGTTTTCACCTCTGAGCATTTTTAAAATGTTCCCAAATAATTATTTTATAAAAACCACTTTTGTATCTTGGTCAATCGGTCTAACACGTGAAAAACGGTCAAAACCGTACGCACGTATTGTACGACCTTGGAGACTTGGTTTTTACCAAACAAGTCTTGTTTTCACTATTTTATACCATATACAATATTTTTCAAACCTGGTTTTTACTTTTGGGAACACTTCGTTTTTGGACCTCGG